AAAAAGGTGACTCAAGAGCTGTGGCTTGTGCTGTCTCTTTTCAATTACATGTGTACATTGTAAGTCTTCAAAGTACTTGCAGGCCTGGAGTATTTTCTCTTTAGCAATAGCAATAGCACTTAGACTTATATACAGCTTTGCAGCCCTCTCTAAGCAGTTTACAGAGTCAGCATATTTGAGTCCTCATTTTACCCACCTTGGAAGGATGGAAGGCTGAGTCAATCTTGAGCCTGATGAGATTTGAACTGCCAAATTGCAGGCAGCTGGCAGTCAGCAGAAGTAGCCTGCACTCTAACCACTGTGCCACCACAGCTCTTTAAGAGCAAAGGTGGGTAAAATGATTATTTATTATATTTCTAGTCTGCCTTTCTTCCAGAAACTTAGGGCAGTATACTATCTATTCCATAATTTTTCCCTCCACACAACTACAAGTCTCTGTTATGCAAACCCATCCCATTTGATTATCTTATCATTCAATATACTGTGTAAACTCAGAAAGTGGGTTAGTTCAGTAACCTTGCTGAAGTTAATCACTGAATTAACCCATTTATCAGAGCTTATGCAATATGTTGAATGGTAAGCTAACCAAATGACATGGCTTTGTACAACGAAGTCACAGCTCTTGGGTAACCCACCTTAAACAAAGTTAGTATGCTATGAGAAGTCAGCCCCTAGATCATTAACTGAACTGATTAGGAATGAATGGAACTGATGAGGAATGAATTGTTCCTATTTGAATTGATGCTGCAAACTGAGATACACAGGCCAGCTCTTGGGCCTGTTATGGGAGGGATTTTCAGTGATTCAATGGTGACTCAAGGGTTTTTCTCTGAAACTTGCTACCTATTGTGAAATGTTAAATATTTTGGGGTTCTGTTATCTTGTTATAGGGATATTGTATGCAGATATTGTATCAACTGGTTGATCATTAACCATCCAAACCAAGTTTGGAAACAGGGGCAAAGTCTTGCCATAGTTTATTGACTTTAGTGAAAGTAGCACAGTAGCACACAAATGTGATTGGGATGTGTAGATTGTCACTGGGTCCTCATAAAATCAACCCTGGACAGTAGGAATGGAGGAAATAGTTTACTGGACAGTGAAAGAAGATACTCCTTGTTTGCTGCAGTGCTCTTGAACAAGAGACCAATGGAAGCTCATCAGAGAGTAAGGCAAAATATACCTGCAACTAGCTGGCCCACCAAGAGGTGGACAAAGACATTGTTGTGTGAATGATTGCTCACAGTTTTGATGGTGGTTTGCCAGCCTGAAATCTTCCACGTTCTGCTTTGATTGATGTTGGGGCTGGATAAAAGAGGAAGAACATATCTTCCTCTACCTTGTTTTGTTTAAGTCAAGAATCTTCCACCTTGGCTGAAAAGTGAAACCCTCCAAAGGAATAGCTTGTTGCAAAGGACTTTTTATATTGGAGCACATTTCAAGTCACCAGAGAGAGGGCTGCTAAGAGATGAGAAGAATCTGAAATACTTCACTAACCTGCAAAACAGAGATTTCTAAGCTAGCCACTGGTTTGAAAAAGAAACCTTAGGTAACTGTGCCTTCCAGTTAATTACTTCAGGTAAGAATTGCCTTCATAAAAGTATGATTGTCTCAGAACACTACCAAAAAAGAATGATTTCATTGTCACATTTTTTTTCTCCCTAACAGAATTCAAAATAAGAGCTACAGATTAAAAAAACTGAGGACAACAATGATCCAGGAGGTCAGATTGTGTGGCATAAAACTGGACAAGATTTATTTCAGTCTTTGTTTATTTACAGCAAACCATTGGAAAGAAAAGGTGTAGATACACTTGAATGATCAACTTCCAAAATGACTGAATGGTTCAAAAGAAGGTTATCAGCCTGCTGCATGAATCCACTTTACTTAATGAATCCAAGCTTCTTCATTAAACTGCTGGTCCTCCTCCTATTATATAAACATGGTAAGATATTGGCTTCTAAGTTACCTTGGGGGGGTGTGTTAGTTCTAAATTAGAGTCTTTCTCTACTACTGAGTTAAACTGTTCTCCATCCAAACTTCACTCAGCAAAAAAAAAAAAAAAAAAAAAAACGTATTAGCTTGACATATTGTTGTTCTAATTGACGGTCTTACTGAGACTCTATTGCTTCTGTCCCTGGACAACCTTTATTTGAATCAAGCAAAACACCCATGAAAAATGAGGGCTGGATTTTTTATTTGTTTTTTTGGAGGGTGGGATAAGCTTGAAGCTACAGTTTTCATGCATTTTTGTCTCAAAATAGAGATTGTACCATCAATTTTCTGCTGTAATAGTCAAAGGATACAAGTCTTGTTTCTGGTTTTGTTTGAAGCATTTGGATTTATGAGTGCCTTGCTTTGTTTTCTACAAGAGCCTCCTTCCATTTCGGATCTTCTGGATAATTTGTTATAAAAATTCTATAAAATATCATTAACCTAAGGAGTGCCATTCTAATGGTCTAGAGCTGTGATGGCAAACCTATGGCATGCATGCCATAGGTGGCACATAGAGCCCTCTCTGTGGGCACACAAGCCATCACTCAGCTCAGCTCCATGGCACATATGTGCAAGCCTCCCGACGGCCAACTGAGTTTCAGGTCTCTGCCATAAATGCGGGAGATGTACCTGCATGCACAAGGGGGGAGCACTCCGCACTCCGCTTTTGGTTTCAGGAGGCTTCAGGGAGGCCTACTAACCTCAAAATGGGGCACAGTGGTGGGGTCATGTGCATGTGCAAGGGGAACATGGAAGGAGGGGAAGTGCAGGGGGGTCATGCGCAGGGGCGGGGCACTGTGGATATGGGCATGCATGCGCTGTTGTGCACATACAATTTAAGCATGTGAGGACAAAAAGGTTAGCCATCAGTGGTCTAGAGAAGTCCTGATATTCCTGACCCTGTATAGAGGTCTTCTTAATTGGATGGTTGTACTTATAACTTTCCAGCCAGTTTGGATAATAATGACTGGACATTTATGGAAGTTGGAGTCATTATGTCTGAAGAGAACCAACTTGGAGAAGGCCTCTCATATGTAGAAATGCTTTTGTCAGACATGAACAACCAGACCCCACATGCAGAGTTCAAACTAGTTACTTTATTGTTCTATATCTATTTTACAGGCATCTTCACACACTGGGAAAATTAGGTTCAAAGTCATGGGGTAGAGGGACCTTGCCCTCTTGTGTTTATGTAATGAGTCCATGCAAATTCCTTGTTTGATTTTGTCCTCCTGACTGGGATGTTCTCCAATAGCTTTATTGCTAAAAATGGGGGGAAAATATCCTGTGATCTTTAACAGAGATATCCAGGGATGGATGTGGGGAAACACAGAAAAGTTCCAGAAAAATAGACAGCAATGAAGAGTGAATACAGAGTGAATTACTTCTTTCTGACTTGAGGAATTTATGCAGGAGGCATTCTCTGTTGTATTCAGAGCCAGTGTTATCTAGATCTTTATTATTTATTTAAATGTTTTGGCTGCCCAATTCCAGTGGACATTTTTAAAGAGTTGGAAACTTTGGGGCCAGGTGACCAGGCTTTGCTTATGAAATTGCTAGTCAAGTATTAGGGAGGAAATTCCTGCAACTTTGCAAATGATGTTGAAGGATGAATCTACAGTCTTATTTCTAATGGTTTCTTTTGATTTCCCTCGGTACAGTTGATTCCCAATGCAAGATTTCACGGTGTAATTCTGAATTTATAGAAGCCACAGCAGACATGCATGACTCTGAAAGGAGCACTGCCTACTGTAATGCCTTGAGGGACTACTCCAGCTGCACCCGGAGGACGTCCCGCACTTGTCGCGGGGACTTGGCATACCACACTGCTGTTTATGTCATTGAAGACCTCATAATTCAGAACAACTGTTCCAGGGACTCGCCAACCACAGTGCCCAAACCTCCAGCACTGTCACCTAACAAACATGATTATTTCCCATCCACAGACACCTGTGACTATGAGAAAAGTTTTATCCACAAACATGGCCAGTCCCCCACATACCAATATTGTGCTGTCTTTGGGGATCCTCATGTCCGGACTGTCAACGATGAGTTCCACACTTGCCGAGTTGAAGGCTCCTGGCCACTTCTGGACAACAATAATTTATTTGTGCAAGCCACTAGTTATCCTATCATTAAAGGATCAAATGTCACTGGAATTGGCAAGGTAGACTTACATTCTTTTATATTGGGGGTTGGGCAATCAACAGGGTGAATGTATTCCCTCCCTCCCCGGCATCCCATTTGAGAATTCCCAACAAGCGGAGAAAATGCTGGAAAAATAGCTGATTTGGCTGGTGTGATTTGAATTTTTTTTCTTTTTAATCTTGGACGATGGTAAAGGTGAAATTGTAGCAACTGGATTATATCAGATTGTCAAAATCTACATTATGGTGTTATGCAGTACAGGTCATCCTGGACTTTATAACAGTTCATTTAGTGACTGTTTGAAGTTACAATGGCGCTGAAAAAAATAACATGGCCATTTTTCACACTTACAACCATTGCAGCATCCCCACATGATCAAAATTCAGGGGCTTGGCAGCTGACCCGTATTTATGACAGTTGCAGTGTTTTGAAGTCATGTGATAAACTTTTGTGATCTTCTGACAAGCAAAATTAATAGGGAAGCCTGATTCACTTAACAATCGTTAGTAACTTAACAACTAGGGCAATTCACTTAAGAAAGGTTGTAAAATGTGGCAAAATTCACTTTACAACCGTCTTTTTTAGCAATAGAAGTGTTGTGTTCAATTATGGCAGTAAATTGATTACCTATATATAATCCCAGCTATTATCTTATCAAAGTTTTCCTCTGATAATTCAGGAATGTGTTTGAGCCTTTTCTTATCTGGTGCCTTTCTTTGCCCTCTCCAATCAGGAAATTGAATCTAAGTAGTGGGTGTATAACTGACGTGAATATTGCTGGCATACTGGGTCCAATATCAGCTCCTATCACTAATGCAGAATTTCTTATATAATTCCCAGCATTTGCAAGGATCTAACATTATTGCAAAGCGACATGGTGGCTCAGTGGCTAAGATGCTGAGCTTGTTGATCAGAAAGATTGGCAGTTCAGCGGTTCGAATCCCTAGTGCCGCTTAATGGAGTGAGCTCCCGTGACTTGTCCCAGCTTCTGCCAACCTAGCAGTTTGAAAGCA